TGGTAATGGGCCACAATAATCAACCTCATTGTATATTGACAAAATAAAATTAAGGAAAAAATAAATAAATTAAATAAATAAATAAAATAAAAACTTTACGAAGTCAAAAATTACTATGTAAATAACCACAGACATCATAAGCTGTTATTTTATTACTCCAAAAACATAGAAATAGTTACAAATTCTATTAGCATAATTTTTTTAAGACTCACCTTTAAATGCACTTTTTATCAGTTTAACTTGAAAAGGAAAGAGGAAAAATCTCTTTGTGGATCCAAGAGGCCAAGAAACAAGCCAGTTACAACTGCCTTCATTAAAATTTTAAGATCCTCCTAGATCAGATGATCAATTACTCTTTTAAGAAAACAGAGTATAGGATAGTTTTGAAGTACTGGATAGATCCAGAGCTAAGAATTAAGTCACAATTTCTAGCTCTACCTGTGACTGTCAATTCAGAACCAAGGTACGCAATCCATTTTGTTCACCCCAAAGTTCCTAAAACATTACGAACTTCATTTTACATTGCTCCAAACCTTAATCCAAATATTTAAGTATCTGATCACTTTAAGTGTTGATAACAACTATACATACCATTTAAATAGCAATGTCTTGGCTACATCCATTTTTCCTTGTTTATATTCCGTTATTGCCAGAGCTGTCAAGATATGGGCTTTGTCTTGTTCTGATTCAACAATAGACAAGGCTCTCTCATAGGCTGTTATATAGAATTGGAAACAAACAAGCAAAAACAATAAAAAAGCAATACTGGTTGACAAAGTGTGGGATTTTTTCTGTTCTAATTCTATTTTTCAAAAAGGTCTAAAAGATGTTATTGTTCTCTTGTTTTCAAGCTGATAGAATAAAAATTTAGACCAATCTAACTTACTTTATTTGCTCCAAGGTGATTTTGGGGATATTATTAGGATTATTATATGACAATCCCCAACTTCTACCTTCAGAATCTATAGGGAGGTGTGAGTCACTATCTTTAAGAGCCAGTTTAAACCACAAGTGGAGGTCTGAAGCCACTGAGATATCACCAAAATTCCCATGTGCAGATCAGCACTTCCATCAAGCAGCAGATACTTAAGTGAGCTGCATACATACAGGCTGGTCCTGTATATATGAAAATGCACTCAGTTAACACTTCTGGAAAAACCAAAATCAGATATTACTAACAATGGCTGAGGTCTTCATTTATCAGAAATTTACATTTAAGCAACGTAGGGTAGTAACACCTGCTTTCAAATGTTAACTCACATATTTACCCTAAATGATCTTAGGCCTCAGTTTCCTTATCTGTAATGAATACTCAGCTCGAAACACTACTGTAAGGACTATTCATCTAATAAAATACTACATGAGGTAGCAGATAAAATGTGCCTAGTACCACTCCTGACTCCTTAGTAAGGTTTCAATAAACTTTGCAATCCCCACCCCCATCTCAATATTGTATTTTTCTCTTGTAAACTCATGTTAAAACTACTCAGCTCTGGAAAAGTAAGGCATGGACTTTAGCTTCAAGCAATGTGCTTACCTTTGCTGCTCTCTTTATATAGCCCTTTCATGAACAAAGACAATGCAAAACCTATGATGTCTTCTAACTCTTCAAGGGGTGTTGATTTAAAAGCCTGGATAGCTTTTTCATATTCACCAATGGAACTAAGAAGCAAAATGCAACTTACTTTTAATATCAAAAATAATTTTTGCTTATATCATCAAAATATAGAGATATAATTACACTAAAGTTCTTTCAATAACTTAACCTGCACTTCCTTTTTATAGTGGCAGTTCAGTAAGCTATAATCTATTAGTGCTAAAACTGTAGAAAAGACAAATTAAAACAGAAGACATTTCACAAGTAGGATGTACTAGAGGGATTTAACTTCACACCTTGCTTCGTTTAAATAATGTGTGAAAATGACCGGTTCTGCTCAGTTACAAAGTGGGTTTTTTTTAAACAACTTTTAAGTAAAACCCCAAGTTATAAAAATAATTTCAAAGTGATATTTATATAGAAATCTAATTATTTAAGCTCAATGCATTAATTAAATATTATCCTGTGAATATGGTTCTAGCATCTTTGACAAGCTTAAGAAGTTATAAAATGCCTAGTCAGAATCAAACCCAGTCTTGTGTAAACTATTCATCTGCACATTGATATTTTTGGAGGATATACAGACACACTAAAATTCCACAGAAAAAACTATACATTATCTTTTTTGTGTTTAGTAGGGAGAAAAATAAAACTGTAATAGATAATACTGAAGTGCAATTAATAACAGAAAAGCAACTTGCTTTTGCTTATTTAAAAATGAAGAAAAGTTCTATAACTCACCTGCCATCATCTGAATAGAAACACTGTATCTTTGAAATTCTTATTTCTGGTCCATCACTACAATCTACAATCTGAATCTATTTTTATTTTTAATGTGTTATTGGAAATTTTTTCATAAAATCTTTTTAATCTTGGAGGATGTGAGAGCTAAAAATACAAGCAGCTTTTGCTTCTAAAATTAGTTTTATAAAGGTGAATTTATGAAATCAATAAACTCAAACTGTGATAAATATTTTGATGAAGGAAAGAGGACTACCTTAGATTGTTTATGGATACATACATACATATTTAAAGCATTTTTTAAAATAAAACTATCTTCAAAGATGTGACTACTTTTGTGGAGAAAAGAATGGAACTAGAGAAGGTCATAAGGGGTCTTCAACTTTATCTGTTACTCTGTCTTTGAAGAAAAAAAAAAAAACCTGAAGCAAATTGACAATTTTAAGATGTTATATTTGAGTGGTGATTATTCACTAAATTATGGTCTATACTTTATTTATTACTGCAGCTTCCATGTTTAAAATATTTCATAATAAAAAAAAATTAAAAAGAAAACAGATGACCTGTTTTCAATGGAAAGTACAAATTTTCTTCTAAAATATTTTCATTATATGAAACATCAAAAATAAAAAGAACAGACACTTTATTCCATACAATTTCTTACAATACATCTACCCTCTGCTTCAATAAAATCCTGAAACTGGCAAGACTCTATATGACTCTTAAATGTAACAGTTTAAAAGAACTGAAAGGAGAGGCAGTCAGAATAGTAAAACTTTCCTGTTTATGGGTATGGCTCAGCTACACAGTTATAAAAGAACTGGGTACCTCAGTTCTCTACTATGTAGTTCCTTAAAAGGTATAGGCACTAATGCCAAAACATCAAAACCATAGTTTTAATAACGTGTTTCAGACTGGATCATTCAATTTGGGGGCAGCTCTAAACTTGAAGAATACTCCTTGAGTCAAAACCTTCCTCCTATGATACTTCTATTTGCTGGTCCTAGTTTTACCTTCTAAAACAACTGGTTTTTAATACCCCTTTTTAAAATCTTTTTAAGAGTTCAGAAGTCTTTGAGAATTTGAGGAAAGATACATATATGGCTCCCTTTCCATCTCCAAAACACAAAAATTTTTGTGAACTATTTCAAAGGGGTCCCTAGAACCCTGATATCCATCCCTAGTTTAAGAATATACAACTCAGACTAAATCAAATTCCCCTCCAATTAACTAGGTTAATTAATTGTGTTTCCAATTAATTAGGTTTCTGTTATTAGAGACAGCAACTACCTTTCTTCCAAATGTTCTCTTGTCCAGTCCATAGACCATTAGTTCCAAATCTGCTCCTCACAAAGCATACTGGGGTTAGGTATCATTATAGGTAGAGGAAGTTGTTAACACACCGTGGCACTGTAGAAATTATGCTTCCTACATATCCCACTACTCTGCAAACTGGTCACAATCTCGCCAGTACCATAGCTTTCACCAGAAAAATCCAACAGAGTCACAGAATTAATGAGAAAAAATATGCTTACCATAACAACCTGCCATAATTTCTTATTGTAACATTGTAAGTATCTTGGTCTTCTGCAGTCTGTAACAACAAAATTGCCCTTTAAAAAAGGACAAGGTATTTTAATTATCTATGTGCTACAGAATTCTTTTACCCTTCCTCCTCAGTTGAATCTACAGATTTTTGTTCTCTTCATTTAATCCCACTAATTCTTAAATGATAGTTATAACAGCTTATTCATATTTTATTAAGTTGGAACCACAAAAACACTTAAATATATTTACATTTTAGATTGTCAGAAAATAACTTGAATAAAATTACCACTAAGTGAAAACATTAATCATATTTGAGTTCTAAATATTCTAAATATTTTAACCTATGTATAGGAAATGACCATGTTGCAGTTTAAGTTTTGACATATTTTAAATATTTAGAAAACACTCTTGAAAATATTTATAAACTAGTAGTTGAGTTAAGAAGCCAGGAAGTTAAGTGCTTTCATGTGCCCTTGCCTGTACATACAGAAAAATACTGAATATACAACAGTGAGTTGAGGGGAAAAAAGGAGTCATCAGAAGTCCCTTAGGGCCGGCCCGGTGGCGCACTGCTACAGTGCGCTGCTTGGGAGCGCGGCGGCACTCCCGCCAAGGGTTCAGATCCCACATAGAGACCGGTTCCCGCTCACTGGCTGAGCGCGGTGTGGGGGCAACACCGAGGGTTGCGATCCCGTTGCCGGTCCCGGTCCGGTACGGGCGCGACACTGAGGGTTGCGATCTGTTGCCGGACACGAAAAAAGACAAAAAAAAAAAAAAGAAGTCCCTTGAGGTTTAGAATAAATACACTATCATTCTGATTACCTGTATTCCCTTTTCATGCTCAGTCCCCTATGGGTGAGCAGGGAAATGTCTTAACTAAAAAGAGTGAGATATTTAGTAAGTTTTTTTTGTTTGGTTGGTTGGGTTTCTTTTTTTTTCTATTTAAAGAGGATTTGCCAGGGAGAAATATCCAAGGAAGGCTTTTTTTGTTTGTTTGTTTTTTTTCGTGTCCGGCAACGGATCGCAACCCTCAGTGTCGCGCCCGTACCGGACCGGGACCGGCAACGGGATCGCAACCCTGGGTGTCGCACCCACACCTCGCTCAGCCAGTGAGCGGGAACCGGTCTGTATGTGGGATCCGAACCCTCGGCGGGAGCGCCACCGCGCTCCCAAGCGGCGCACTGTAGCAGTGCGCCACCGGGCCGGCCCCAAGGAAGGCTTTTTAATCTCCTTGATGTTACATGAAAAACAAAAGTCTGCTAGAGAAACCTAAAAGACAGTGTTATAGACAGCCCTGATTAGATTTGTCTAATTTGTAGTTTCAAGCCTCTGACACTTGTTTAAGGCAGAATACAGCAGTGATCAGTGAAGAAAGAGTGGTGCATGTGCAAGTGACTGTGGAACTGCCTTTTTAAGCCTAAGGTGTAACCAATGTTAGACTCACAATATCTGTAATAATAACAGTATGTACAAGAAAATGGCAGTACCCTAAAGCTGCCTGGTTTTCTCTGTTTAAAAATCCTGCTCACCGTTATGTTCTCCCATATTTATACAGTTTGTTTATTGGTAAGTACATTGATAGTGAAAGAAACAAAATTGTGGTTTTTCATAAACCTCTCTTCACATACACCTGGAAAAATAACTTCTTGATTATACAGCCTCTAGTACCATCTAGTGATGACTCCTTTGAACTACAGAGAGATCCACAAAAGGATATGGGGCAAAGTATTTGGGACTCCTCAATTATTTTTTACCTACAAGGCTTCTTCTAAATATTTACTTAGATTTAGAGAAGTAATGTACCTAAGAGGTTAGGCAATCAGGTCTTTTAACTTTTGATCTAGTAGTTATGCATAAAATGATCCACAAAAGGATATGGGGCAAAGCATTTGGGACTCCTCAATTATTTTTTACCTACAAGGCTTCTTCTAAATATTTACTTAGATTTAGAGAAGTAATGTACCTAAGAGGTTAGGCAATCAGGTCTTTTAACTTTTGATCTAGTAGTTATGCATAAAATCCATCTGTTTTCTTATTCACCTATCCACTAATTTGCACAGAATAAAACTTTAAGTTGATTTCACTTCCTATCACTCTCCAGGCTGGCAACTCCACTCTACCCCACCGGCTTCCCTATTTCTTAAAACATACCAAGCCCCCTCTTGTTTAAGAGCATTTGCTCTTACTATTCCTTCTGCCTGGAACACTCTGGCCCACATTACCAAATGGCTTGTGGCCTCGGTTCACTCAGGTCAGGCCTCAAATGCTTTCTTAGTAAGCTCATCCCTCTTAAACCCACCTGAAATGTCATTTCCTGCCTCTGCATTTTCTGGCCTTTTACCTTACTTTAATTTTCTTTTTTGCAAGTTATTATTATCACAGATGTTTATTAACTTATTGTGTGTCTCCCATTATCAGAATGTGAGATGAGAACAGGGCCTATGTCTGTTTTAATTCACTGCTAAATTGCCAGTGTCAAGGACACTGCTTGGCACATAGTAGTTCAAAAAATATTTATTGAATGAGCAAATATATAGTAAATACTTAAGTGATTCAAGCAAATACATCATGTTTTTATTTCCTATCCAACTAAATCATGTATGCAATAAAGCTAGACAAGTTCTTAGAGGGCAGATTTTTCTAAAACAAAATCTGAGGTGTTTTTGTTTTGTTTACTTTGTTTTCTCTCAATTTCTCACTCAATCCTCTCCCCAAAGCTCCACCCCTCCCCACTCCCCCCAGCTCAGGATGAGCAATAGAAACCAAGCCAAAACACAGCTGAAAATTTGTGATTACATCTTCTAATATGTAATATACAATAAAAGATCAGAAAAGGAGTCAGAACATTTATTTAGTACCTTCTACATCAGAATGAGACTAAATTTTAAAAGGCTAACTGATAAGCAACAACTGCATTTCAATTAAATGTAGTTTACCTTTGGTATGCATCTGCTGCTTCTTTTTTCAGTTGCAGATGTTCATTTAAGTAACCCAACATTGTGAAAGCTGGAGCATAATTCTGAATTCTTTCTGGAAATCCAGAAATATCTTTACTTTAAATGAGCATACTGGTCATGTTCATAAAATACTTGTATTTTCAACTTTTCAGTATCTTAAACACCAGATTACCTCCTGAGATCACTGGCATTTTCAACAATAGTAGTCTGACTTCATCTTAAACATACGAGAGTACTTCAAAAACTTCATGGATTTATATTATCTTTTAATTCTATTTTTCTATGAACTTTTTTTTTTTTTTGTCTTTTTCGTGACCAGTAAGGGGATCGCAACCCTTGGTGTGGTGTCGCCCGCACCGCACTCAGCCAGTGAGCACACCGGCCATTCGTATATAGGATCCGAACCCACAGCAGGAGCATCACTGCGCTCCCAGCGCCTCACTCTCCCGAGTGCGCCACGGGGCCGGCCCTTTCTATGAACTTTTTGAAGTACCCTTGTAATATGCCAATAATCATTTTGTAGCTTTTAAAAATTACTGAATAATATTTAATAGTTACATAGTGTTTCTAGTTTTTTTTTTTTTTTCCTGTTTGTCTTTTTTACTGACCGGTAATGGGATCGCAACCCTCGGTGTCACGCCCGCACCACGCTCAGCCAGTGAGTGGGAACCAGTCTCCACATGGGATCCAAACCCTCGGCGGGAGCGCCGCCACACTCCCAAGCGGCACACTCTCCAGTGTGCCACCGGGCCGGCCCTCTAGTTATTTTTTAGAGTTTAAATATTTTTATCCCGAAAGGTATAATAATTTGAAATTGTAGTTCATGTTAAAACTAGTTATGAGATTTATAAGGAAATTCAATTCCTTGGCTAATCACTTAAGCCTTCCTGTGATTAAATTAGCAAGAATTTCTCTTGGTGGTTCTGTTCCAATCTCTATGTGTTTTTAAAACATTAATTCAGGGCCAGCCCTGTGGCGCACTCAGGAGAGTGCGGTGTTGGGAGCGCAGCGATGCTCCCGCCACGAGTTCAGATTCTATATAGGACTGGCCAGTGCGCTCACTGGCTGAGCGCGGTGCAGGCAACACCACACCAAGGGTTGTGATCCCCTTACCGGAAACGAAAAAGACCAAAAAAAAAAACAAACATTAATTCAGTATTGTACTCTAGAAACAGAATATGATTTGGGCACTTTCAATGCAGTGTTTTGAAATTCTAATGTGAAAAAACAACATGTATCTATATTGGAGAAAGATAAACACATCTGATCTAATCTACTTAAAAAAAAGGCAAGCCTTCAAATCTTAAATTGTTTAACAATGTACAGTGTAATCATGTGTTAGGTGATGATTAGGGTGAAATCACATAGTCAAAGTTATTCTTGAAAAATTCTTAAAGTCACAATACAAAGGGAAGATCACAAAAATTGAGTCAAAATGAATATGAGGAGATTCATGCCTTCATATGCCATACTCACCCTAAGGCAAAAAGTAAGACAGACAAGGGATGGTCTGCATTTCCTCTTGTTACCCCCATTTTCTCTGCTTTTAATTTTCTAATTTTTTTTTTTTTTTTTTGGTCAAGCACATATAGTTGAATTTGTTAAATGAGTATATGATATGGCTCCACTATAGAGTTAAAAAGCCAGCTATGTATAATTGTTAGGGAATGGTTTGTTCATTGTTTTAGGTATCTGAATTTTGTAAAAAACTAAAGATTTACCTATTCATGTAAATTCTTTACAAATATACACATTCTGTAAGGAAACCCATCAATAAAATTTCTGATCATGTACTTCCTCAGCAGCACTAGGTATTTATTAGAGTTATTCATTTTGGCATACTGCATAATATGATAATGTCCTAAAGTGCTGATGTTTGTAAACTAATTGCCTTCTACTCAAATGCACAATGCTAAATGCGTAAAGAGTATTCCAATCCTTTCAATACCTATGATGAAGCATTGTCTCTCCTGTTTTTCAGTTTATCTGATTCTTCACATTATTTGGCTGTAAATATTTACTGCTGTCAGTATTTCTGCTTAAACTCCTTGCTTCTTTATTATAATTTTGTCAAAGGCTAATGAAACTAACATTTCTTGAGCATCTAGGGTATGGCAGGTACTCTGCATAACATTTTGTATAAATCATCTCATTTAAACCCTAACCAATACGTACTTTCCTTCTTACAGATGAGAAAACTAAAATTCAATTTGGTAGCATACCCAAGGTTTCAATCATGCTAGTAAGTGGTGGAGAAGAGATTAAAACCCAACAGTAGTTTTTATTAAGGAAGACAGGAAATTACTTCAAGAGATGGTTAATAAAACTTCATCATTCTGTTAATTTCCTAAACCTAAACATATTTTTCCAATATACTGAAGAAAAAGCAGGTTTTAAAGGGGTAGGCTAAAGGCACTGGGTTTGGCACTTCATGTATATTCTTCATTTAATTCTAACAACTCTACAACCCAGGTATTATCTCCACTTTCTAAAGAGTAAACAGAAGTTAAGGGAAGTAAAATACTTGGTCTAAGACTGCAGAGAAAGTAAATGGCAGAGCTAAAACAGCAGTAACTTAGGACCATTAGACTCCAAAACAATTACCACTATAACAAGGAAATCACTTTCATATTGAATCATTAGGTAACAAGCAATTTGCATCACTCTTCAAAAGCCCTTACTAAAATTTAGATAGTAGGCTACTTGGCTATTGAGAAAAAAGGTAAATTCATGTCTTAGAAAACACTAATACTTAATTTGGAATGAATTAATTTTTAAAATTCTTTAAATTATTTCAATAGCTATTCAAATATCTTGCCATTATATAACAGGTAACTTACCTATGTATTTATTCAAAACAACTTGTGCTGCTGGAATAGCATTCATCTGGAGGATGTTGTACTGGTACAGCTCTGTTTCTCTGTTGCTTTTATCTTGCAATGTTGTGCAGACCCAATATGCATAACCTATTGCTCCCCAGCAAGCAGTGTCTGCACCACTCCCTTGTGCCAGATGCCTAGATCCACACCCTCCTACCCTGGGAGCTCAGAGGTCTGCCTGACACAGCTAGATCACCAACACCAGCAGAGAATGTGCTAGGGAACATGCCCTCCTTCCCCCCAGGACCTCAGAGCCTCACTCAACATAGGAGAACTACCCATGTCAGGGGAGAGCAATGGGAGTGCGCGGGTCACCTGGATCCATGCTCTCCTCCTGCAGGAGCTCACCCCTACACTAGCAGACAGCAAGCAGTGTCTGCACCACTCCCTTGTGCCAGATGCCTAGATCCACACCCTCCTACCCTAGGAGCTCAGAGGTCTGCCTGACACAGCTAGATCACCAACACCAGCAGAGAATGTGCTAGGGATAGGCAAGCTGCCTAAAACCATGCCACCTTCTCCAGGAGCCCAGTGTACCATCTGACACAGCAGCCCACCCGCACCAGTGGAGAAGATGCAGAGATTGAGCTGGCACTTACTACTGCCCTGACCCAGAACCAAACCTACAAAGCCCAACCTGACTATCAACATAAAATACTTCTCCATGTAAGAGACTCTAACCTCAAAAAACACTCTGAAAATTAAGTGACTACATCCATAGATGCCCAGACATCAGCTCAGAGATACAAGAAGCATGAAAATACAGGAAACATGACTACCCCCAAAAAGAAGACTACAGTTCTCTGATCCCAGATGCAAACAAAAGGAAACAAGCAAATCACTTGAAGAGGAATCCCAAATGGCAATATTAAGGAAACTTAACATCGTGGATGAAAAAATAGACAGAAATCACAATAAAGTAAAAAAAAAATACAATCCAGGACATGTATGAAAAATTCAACAAAGAGATAAACATGATATAAAAAAGAACCAAGCGGAAATCCTGGAACTGAAGCATTCAACAAAATAAAAAATGCAACCAAGAGCATAAGCAGCAGGCCAGAACAAGTGGAAGAAAGACTTTTTGAACTAGAAGACAGGTTTTTTGAATTAACACAGTTGGACCCGGAAAAAAGAATTTTAAAAAATGAAGAAACCTACAAGATCTTTCTGATAACCTTAAGCATTCAAATATCTGCATTATGGACAAGTGGAAGAAAGACTTTTTGAACTAGAAGACAGGTTTTTTGAATTAACACAGTTGGACCAGGAAAAAAGAATTTTAAAAAATGAAGAAACCTACAAGATCTTTCTGATAACCTTAAGCATTCAAATATCTGCATTATGTATGTACAGGAAGGAGAAGCAAAAGGAAAAGGCATTGGAAGCCTATTTAATGAAATAATAGCTGAAAATTTTTCAAAGATTGGGAGAGATACAGTCTCACAGATCCAAAAAGCTCAAAGATACCCAAACAGATTCAACTCACGGGACCTCCCTGAGATACAGTATAGCCAAATTGTCAAAAGGCAAAGACAAAGGCAAAGAAAAAAATTCAAAAAACAGCAAGAGAAAAGTTTCAAATCACCTATAAGGGAATCCCCATCAGGCTATCAGCAGACTTCTCAACAGAAACCCTACAGGCCAGGAGAGAATGGGATGACATATTCAAAGTGCTAAAAGAAAAAAACTGCCAACCAAGAATACCATATCCAGCAAAGCTTTCCTTCAAAAAATGAAGGAGAAATAGTATCTTTCCCAGACAAACAAAAACTGCAGGAGTTCACCACCACAAGACCAGCCTTTCACCAAATCCTCAAGGGAGTTCTACATCTAGAATCAAAAGAGCAATATATTATCACTATAAATACATGATAAAGAATAAAAACCACTAGTAGAACACATACACAAATGAAAAAGAGAAAAAAAAATACCTTGTCACACACACAAGCACAAAACACAAAACAGATAAGACAAACAATAAAAGGGAAAGAAGGAAACAAAAGAAAAATAAAACAACCATTAAAAATAATTGAAATGGCAGAAACAAGGCAATACCTTTCAATAATAACCCTGAATGTAAACTGATTAAATTCCCCACTTAAAAGATATAAACTGGTTGAATGAATTAAGAAACTATATGCTGCCTGCAAGAAACTCACTTCACCAATAAAGACACACATAGACTAATAATGAAAGGATGGAAAAAGATACTGCACACAAATAGAAACCAAAAATGAGCAGGAGCTGCCATATTTATATCAGATAAAACAGACTTCAAACTAAGAACTATAAAAAGGGCAAAGAAGGACATTATTTAATGATAAAAGGATCAATGAAGCAAGAAGATATAACAATCATAAATATGCATGCCCCCAACATCGGAGCACCCAGATATATAAAGCAACTGTTATTGGATCTAAGAGGAGAGAAGACCCCAGACAATAAGAGTTGGGGACTTTAACACACCACTCTCAGCACTTGGACAGATCATTTAGGCAAAAAAACAGCAGAGAAATATTGGATTTAAACAGCACTGTACATTGAATGGACTTGACAGACATGAACAGAACATTTCCTCTAACAATTTCAGAATATTCATTTCTCTTATTAGTGCACAGATCTAACTCCAAGACAGATCACATGTTAGGCCACAAATTAAGTCTCAAGAAATTTAAAAAGATTAAAATCATACCAAGTATATTTTCATAAAATTAGAAATCAACAACAAACAAAACTGTGGAAACTATACAAATACATGGAAATAAAACAACATGCTCCTGAATGACCAGTGCGTCAAAAAGAAATAAAGCAGGAAATCAAAAAATTCCTTGAAACAAATGAAAATATAAGCACAACTTACCAAAACCCATGGGATACTACAAAAGCAGTACTCAGAGAGAAGTTTATTGCAATAAATGGTTACATCAAAAGAATAGAAAGACTTCAAATAAACAACTTAATGTTACACCTCAAATAACTAGAAAAACAAGAATAACCCAAGCCCACACGTAGCAGACAGAAAGAAATAAGTAAGATCAGAACAGAACTAAATGAAATAGAGACTGAAAGAATGATACGAAAAAATCAGTGAAACAAAAAATAGGTGTTTCAAGACGATAAACAAAATAGACAGGCCACTGCCCAGACTGACTAAAAAAAGAAGGGAGAAGATCTAAATATCAAAACTCAAAAATAAATAAGGAGACATTACAACCAATACCAGGGAAATACAAAGAATTGTTAGAGACTATTATGAAAAACTATACATCAACACATTTGAAAATCTGGAGGAAATGGATAAATTTCTGGACTCTCACAAACTACCAAGACTGAACCAAGAAGAAATAGAAAACCTGAACAGACCTATACACAAGCAATGAGACTGAAGCAGTGATCAGCAGTCTCCCTACAAAGAGAAGCCCAGGAGCAAACGGCTTCACTGCTGAATTACACCAAACCTTTAAAGAAGAATTAACACCAATCCTTGTCAAACTAATCCAAAAAACAGAAACAGAGGCCATTCTCCCAAACTTGTTCTATGAGGCCAACATCATCCTAATACCAAAATCAAAAACATAACAAAAAAAGAAAGCTACAGGCCAATATCCTTGATGAACATAGATACATAAATCCTCAACAAAATATTAGCAAACAGAATGTAACAGCACATGAAAAAGATTATACACCATGATCAAGTGGGATTCATCCCAGGGATGCAAGGGATAGTTTGACATACACAAATCAATAAATGTGATGAACCACATCAACAAAATGAAATACAAAAACCTTATTATTACCTAAATAGATGCAGAAAAAGCATTTGACAAAATTCTACATCCCTTCATGATAAAGACTCTCAACAAATTAGGTATAGAAGGAAAGTATCTCAACACAATAAAAGCCATATATGACAAATCCAACACCAACAGCATCTTGAATGGGGAAAAGCTGAAAGCAAGGATGTTCTCTCACCACTCCTATTCAACATAGTATTGGAAATATTAGAGCAATCAGGCAAAAGAAAGAAATAAAGGACATTCAAATTGGGAAAGACGAAGTCAAACTGTCCCTGTTCACAGGTAACATGATCCTATATATAGAAAAACCTATAAACTCTACCAAAAAACTCTTAGAGCTGATAAGTAAAGCTGACCAGTAAAGTCACAGGATACAAAATCAATACACAAAAATCAGGAGTGTTTTTAAATACCAATGATGAACAAGCAGAAAAAGAAATCAAGAAAGCAAGCCCATTTACAACAGGTACCAAAAGAATAAAATATCTAGGAATGAACTTAACCAAGGAGGTGAAAGATCTCTACAGTGAGAACTGCAAAACACTACTGAAAGAAATTAGAGAGGACACCAAAAGATGGAAAGACACGCTGTGTTCCCAGAGTAAAAAAATTAACATTGTGAAAATGTCCATACTACCCAAAGTGATCTACAGATTTAATGCAATCCCCATCAAGATACCAATGACATTCTTCACAAAAATGGAAAAAACAATCCTAACGTTCATATAGAATAACAAATGACCCAAATAGCCAAAGCAATACTAATCAAAAAAAGTAAAGCTGGAGGCATTACACTAAACTGACTTCAAATTACACTACAAAGCTATAGTAACCAAAACAGCATGGTACTGGCATAAAAACAGACACTCGGACCAATGGAACTGAATGGAAAACCCAGAAATCAATAAAGACACCAAGAACATACACTGGGGAAAGAACAGCCTCTTCAGCAAATGGTGCTGGGAAAACTAAATATCCATGTGTAGAAGAATGATACTAGACCTATACATCTTGCCATATACCCAAATCAACTAAAAATGGATTAAAGACTTAAATATAAGACTTGAAACTATAAAACTCCTAAAAGAAAACATAGAGGAAACACTTCAGGATGTAAGAATGGGCAAAGACTTTATGAATAAGCCCTCAAAGGCACAGGCAACAAAACAAAAAATAAACAAATGGGATTACATCAAATTAAAAAGCTTCCAAACAGCAAAAACAAGCAACAGAGTGAAAAGACAATATACCAAATAGGAGAAAACATGTGCAAACTACACATCTGACACAGGATTAATATCCAGAATATACAAGAAACTCAAACAACTTAACAGCAAAAAAAAAGCAAATTATCCAATTAAAAAATGGGCAAAGGAATTGAATAGACATTTCTCAAAAGAAGACATACAAGTGGCCAACAACTACATGAAAAATGCTCAACATCACTAATCACCAGGGAAATACAAATCAAAACCACACTGAGATATCATCTCACCTCAGTTAGACAGGCTATTATCAAAAAGACAGAGAATAGCAAATGCTGGTAAGGATGCAGAGAAAGATGAACCCTTGTACACTGTTGGTGGAACTGTAAATTAGTACAGCTATTGTGGAAAACAGTAGTAGATTTCTCAAACAACTATAGATAGAACTACCACACGATCCAGCAATTCCACTGTCGGGTATGTACCCAAAAGAATGGAAATCATCATGTGGAAGGGATACGCTAATCCAGCTCTATTTACAGAAGCCAGGATACGGAATCAACCTAAATACCCATTGATGGACAACTGGATAAGGAAAATGTGGAATATATACACAAAAGAATACCACCTAGCCATAAAGAAAGAATGGAATGAAAGTCTGACATTTCCAGCAGCATGAATGAGCCTGGAGAAAATTATGTTAAGTGAAACAAGCCAGGCACAGAAAGAAAAATACTGCATGTCCTCACTCATAATTGGGGGGGGGGAGGGAGGGA